CATGCTGCCCAATGGGCAGTATTGCTGTGATCTTTACATTTTTCTGAACCTTTTGGCTCAACTGCAAGATTACACACATTAAGGCTGATTATATCCTACACTTCAGTTACAATTTAGAGCATTATCCTAAGTTCCTATGAATGGTTTTTGAAATATAATCTGTATTTTTTGGAAATAAAGACATATTTATATGAGTGATTCTAAAATTCGGAGGCCTATTTGTAATTTTTTTCATTATGACAATTTCTTCACATTATTGTTTCTTAAACCTTACACCTCTCTATTCTCTCAATATTGAAACAGCTCTAAAGGATCAACTAACTTTTGCCTTCAGAAACTTTTTTATATATTTATTTTGAGAGAAACCTTGTTTTTACTATTTGTCCTATGCACATAAAAGAGCATGTCAGTCCAAGTCAACTAAGATGAATTAACTGAATTCTCAGTATGCTCACACTACGCAGTATATTCAGGCACTAAAAATGTTGATTGTAGTCAGAGTCCCCTGTTATTCATCTATGAAACTTTCAAAGATACACTTGCCTGTAATGACCTCGGGAGATTTGAATGAAATATTGATGAAGGAAGGGGCAGGGCTGATCTGGCATTGACTCTGGGCACTTGTAGTTTGAACAAGGTACTACTCATGCACAAAACCAACGGTAAAGTACTATTGATGGAAATTGTTTAGTAACATGGAAAAATACCTACAGTATGCAAAAGAAACTTTTATTTTGTATAATATGTTCCACACTTGGAGAAAAAAAGAAATAGAGTTAACAACGATTTTCTCTAATGATATATTACACAGCAATTCTAAAAGGCCTAAGTTCTGGAGATCCAAACTTGCATCTGCAAATCAGTTCTTTTTTATTCCATAGGTTAATTATCAAAGCTTACCTATAGTACTAGAGGCTCAGTACATAAAGTTCGTGCACAGCAGGTGCGGGGGTGTCCCTCCACCCAGCCTGCACCCTCTCCAATCTGGGACCCCTCCAGGGATGTCTGACTGTCCAATGCCTCTTGGGATTGGGCCTAAATGGGCAGTTGAACATCCCTCTCACAATCTGGGACTGTTGGCCCTCAACTGCTCACCTGCCTGCCTGCCTGATTGCCCTTAACTGCTTCTACCTGCCAGCCTGATCACCCCCTAACCACTCCCATGCCAGCCTGATTGATGTTTAACTGCTCCCCTGACAGCCTGATTGCCCCTAACTGCCCTCCCCTGCAGGCCCGGTTGCCCCCAATTTCCCTCCTCTACAGGCCTGGTCCCTCCCAACTGCCCTCCACTGCTGGTCTGATCCCTCCCAATTGCCCTCTCCTGCTGGCCATCTTGTGGTGGTCATCTTGTGTCCACATGAGGGCAGCCATCATGTATGTTGGGGTGACAGTCAATTTACATATTACTCTTTTATTAGATAGGATTCCCCTACTGAGTACTTTTAGCTAAAGAGGGTATTCCACATTATAAAGAGGGTAATTTAGGATTGGTTATATGTACATGGATATCTCCTTAACTGCTCATTCCTCCACTTGGCTGTCTGTGCTCTTCGAAGTCTTTCCACATCCTGGGTCTGGCAGATATGTCAAATGTTGACATGCAGATCCAGATATCTTGGAAAGGAAAAATAGAAAGCCAAGAGTTAAATGAAATTCTTAGTTCACATTCTTAGTGTATTTTATGGCTCTGATTGTAGTCTGATGTTAGCTAAAAGAGGCCATAAATCCCCAACAACTTCATACAGTTAAAACAGAGTTTTGCTTAGAACTCCAGAAAATAGACCCAGTTATCTCCTTGCTCAATATGTCTTTCATTTCAGATGGCATTATCCTTTGAGAAATCTTTCAACCTGTGCACTATGTGTCATCATATTTCCTCTAATTAATATGCATGAGGCACTATTTCTGGAGTTTTAGTCCTTCAGGAGAATTTGGGTCCCAGGACTTAGTCACACTTAGTTGCCTATAAAACTTTCCCTGATCTTCTGCCTCAGGCAATCTGAACTGTGAACAGTCACTGAGGCTGAAGTACCATTTCCACTTAAGCAACTGTCATCTTATTGAGTTAGAAGAGTCGGTGGCACATTAAATCTTATCAGATATAGTATTCCCTTGCATGCTCACAAGGCTGTGTGTATGCCTGTTTGTCCCCATCCGAGGCTGCCTTTGTTTATTCTGCCTGTCAGAGACACACAGTTAAGTGCAGTTGTCTTCATTATTAGGTATTTTTCCCCTTGGATCCTTTATTTCTTTGGTATATGAGGGAGAAAAAGAAAGAAGAGGGAATTTTTTATAAAATGTGCTTTTAAAATATCTTTCCATATTCTGTCTTGTGTAGTGTTGAAAGCTCCAGCCTACTCAGTGGTCCTCACTGTTGTTGACAAGGGATGGGATCTGGATTTGCACAGCCAGGCATATATATACAGGAATGAAGAAACCCAGGAAATGAACCTGTCAGCCAGTCTTTTCCCAGTTGACCCCTTTGATGAAATTGTCCCAGTCCTGCTTTATTTTATGTATCTACTGTTTGTTTTAGATTTACATTTTGATATGACATTCTTTTTGCTGGAGGTATTTTTCAGTGGCAATAAATTGTATTTTGAGCTGTAACAATGCAAATACGTCAGCATGCTCTTCTGTTAGGATAAGGAAAAGTTGGTTGGGTGCCTGTTTTCACTCTGTACTAATAATTTATTTAGCATTTAAATTAGATCTTGAGTTTTTGAAAGAATGTATGGGTTAGAGTGTTTATGAAAGGGAACCATGAAGAATTTTCTTTTACTACCACTTAAAGATATCGATCTGTTTCCGTGGGGGAGGAAGAACTGCCCTCTGCTCTCAGTGATCTAATAATTAAATAGACATGAGACAGATTAACAAGAAAAAATAACCATATTTAATTACATATGTAGAGTCAGAGACCCTATTTACATGAGAGGTTCATAGACAGAAAGGAAATATGGGTATACAAGATGTTCTGAGCTAGGGATGAGGTAATGCAGCTTGGGGCTTCAGAAGGTAATTGCAGGGAAACCACATGTTCAGCAGTTATTAGTTTGCCCTGCCATATACAAAGGTAAAAAATCATTTATGGTGATGACTATTATCATGGGCCAGGTTCCTAATTTAAATTGACCTAGACAGTTAAGGGAGGGGAGCAGAAAGTTATTTGAACCTGCAGGGTCTCAGTTGCCTTTAGCTCAAAGTAATCCCCATGCCACTGAGGCACATCCTATATAATAAAAGGATAATATGCAAACCGACTGAACAGTGGAATGACTGGTTGCTATGATGCGCACTGACCACCAGGGGCAGACGCTTGATGCAGGAACTGCTCCGATTGCCCAATGGTGAACAGGGAGTTGGGGGTGGGTGGCGACGGGGGGCAGGGCCAGCTGCCGGCAGCTGGGGAAGATGATCCTGATCACAGGCCAGGCCTAGGATCCGTACCCATGCACGAACTTCATGCACCAGGCCTCTAGTACCAAAATAAAAAGACAGAGATAAAAAGCCCACCTCAGGACTTCTTCAGTTTTCCTTTTTTGCCAGGGATGATTGTGAGAGGATCATGGGAGAGAGGAAGCAGAGCTTGAGAGTTTGAGAGTTTGTAGAGATAAAATCCCTCTTCTTCTTTTTATTTCTCTTGCTAACAAACTAAGACTTGGTAACAATATGATTTTCTATGGTTTGTGAACTGTTGTAACTGCCAATTGATTCTTTCCTTCGAAATATCTTCTTTAATCTCCTAGGCTTACTGTGTTCTTTTGTAATAGAAAACAAAGCCTCAGGTTATATGAAGTCCATTTTCCAGCCTTCTCCTGTTAGTTTTTTTAATGGTGGTATAAAAATCTCACAGTGTGCGGGTGTTTATTTTTAGACTTTAAATTTTTCTTTCGAACACAATAAATGAAAAGCTTTTTATTTTTCCTGAAAGTTGTAAGTCAAGATGTCTCCTAGTAGGTAGCCTGTGTTTTCTGATCAACCACACTTTGCAAGTCATGATGCTATAGTAGAATATGTTTTATTTATAAATATGCATGTCTCAGATACATATTTTAGCAGCAAAGGGTGCTTTATTAATTTTATCAACCAGACAAAAAGAGTTAAAAGATACAGTTTATACATACTTGGAAATAAGAACATTTGAGTCTGTTTAGCATTTTTCTGTGTAAAGGTGACTTGTAAACTACTTCATAAGACAGCATTTTGGAGACTAAAGGAGATGAGCCAAACCCAAACCAGAAAAGAGAGCTTGTGCTCAATATTGATCATCCATAATAGTATACTTAGCTTTGATCTCTTTCCTTGCTTTTTCTCTGAACTGATTTTTGTTTATTTTAATGTCTTTCAACCACTGTTATTAGGAGAAAAAGAGAAAGGACATTGAGTATGTTTCCATATCCCTTTAACAAGTGCACAGCACTCATCCTGAACAGTCATTTATGTATTTTTATAAAGATATATTTTCTACTTTTCTAGTAAATTGTTTCTCCAGATCATATCCTAGTGACTTCTGTAATTTTAGGATGGTAATAAGCTTGTACTGCGTTATGAATCCTTTTGCTCATGTTTGACCCCTTACTGTGGTTTCTGTTTCGTGCCGTGTGGTGCTATGTGATTTATGGCATTTAGTATTCTGCTGTTATCTGGACAGAATATATTGTAAATCCATAGCCTGGAGCTTTCATTTATACCCACATAATGCTCTCTTCACTTTAAAAGGGGCCTTCCATTTAAAAGTGTGTGTGGGTGTATGTGTAGTTTCAGCCCACTAACTCATTTTATTTTTGTTAGATGATAGTTTACTATCATACTAAATAAATGATCAAATCATGCTCATCTTACAGAATAAGACAACTTAAACAGTGAGGGAATTCTATCCTAAGAGCATCAAAACATCTTTGTTATACAGCTGTTGGAATGGTTGAATAGTCTCTTGTGACATTTGTATAAGGAAGTGTAACTTGTATTCATATTCATGTATTATTTTATTTTAACAGTTGACTTCAAACCTCGTGCCAGCATGGATACTGTCCATCATATGTTACTTTTTGGATGTAACATGCCTTCGTCCACGGGAAGTTACTGGTAAGGAATAATGGGCTCATAGTAGAAAATGTGTGTTTTTAATAAGCACAGAGTGCATCCGTGCAAGTATTCTATAATTGATTAATAAACAGGCAGAATATTTTCTTCTTTAAAAAAAGAATTTTGTTCTTTTGCATCAAGTCATGCTCATGTTTTGCTTATCACAGTTATTTCCTCTGCTCTGGAGCACATCCGTTGATCTTTGACATTGACTTAATAATGTCACAGAGAGTGTGTGTCAATGCATGCAGCTTGAAAAGAAAGACTAAAAAATTAGATAACGTATACTCTGGTGTTTGTTTTTACGTTCATGAATATAATAGCACCATGGCTATATTCATTGGACACCTTTTTATTTCAGACACCAGGCTAGGTGATCTGTGTACACCATTTCCTTTTACCCTAACATCTCTGCAAAGCAGGTATTATTACCTCCCTTTACAGACAAGGAGCTGAAAACTCAAAGATTCACTAACCTGCTGAAGGTAACACAGCCAGTTAGTGTCAGACCAAGATTCAACCTTAGGTTGTCCAGGTCCAAATCCAGTTACTTCTGTTTCACCACACGGTGTCTTATTTATTCAAGTAACTGTTGCCGTTTTAGAATTTATTTTAATCACTGTGGTGAGCCTTCATACCATGTCATGAACAATCAATAAACATCTATTAAATGCTTGTTATATGTCAGAACTGCAGCAGATGCTGTGGGAGGTTCTAAGATAAATAGATATGTTTTCTGCCCCCAGACGCTTACAGCATAATCATGGCTTGAGATCTTCCCTTTCATTTTGTTCTTTGGTGGTAAGATGATCAGTGAACTTTGAAAATCGCTGTGCATTCTAAGCCTCACATTTTGCACTAATAGTCAGAATCGTGTTACATGTGTAACAGGGCACAATGACTAGTATGTCTTCCTTTGCATTGGGAAAGGGAATGTTTTGTGGTCCTGTTGCTGTGTGATCACTGAGACTGATAGACCCTTTTCTGCGCATCCTCGTATGCGTTATGCTGATTCAAGGCATGCAGCAACTGCTTTCTGGTCAATTTTATAATAAACAATTGTTATATGTATTTGGAACTGTTAAAAGCACAGGGAAATTAGCGGAAATCACGGACCAAATACATCAAAGTGTTTGTTAATAGGCATGAGTATTTGATGAAAAGGGCATATCACATAGGAACCTCTCTCACGTGACTGAATTTATGCAAAAATAGTGTCAGCAAATTACAGTTATTATCCTTTGATATCAACATTCCAGTTTTTGTTCTCCAGTAGATTTTTGTAAATAAAATGTTGGAATTAAAGATTATTCTCTGACAGCATTTCTGAATCTGACTTAACCAATTACATCCCTTGGTTTTTATGTTTATTAAAAATAAACTTTCTGAAATTAGCAAAAATTGCCTTTGGATTAAAATGGTTAAAAATAGCTAGGAGGGATGTGAACTTGAAAAATCTGCTTTAGCTTCACCCTGATGGAAGAGAATGAATGAAAAAGTAAAACGTCACTTACACGGTTTTATGGTTCTGATTATTAAGGGGAAATATATAAAGTGAACTAAGCCTAGCTCAGTGGTCTCATGTTAAGGGAATATCAGAGCAAACCCATTATTTTAGCTAATTTAAAGTATTTATTCATATTCTTTAATATACTATTTTGATATTAAGTCCATCCAAAGGACTTCTATATTGAGGAAAGAGAACTCAAAGCAAATTGTAAATAAAAGTGAAAACAGTAATTTTGAGTAGCGTAATTGCTACGCATATACTCTTTTGCTAAAATTATTACTGGCAAGGCAGCATAGTAGAAAGAAAGAGTAATAAACTCACTGGCTGGATTCCCTGGGCATGTTACCTGTCGCACGTGTTTGGCCCTGGTTTTTCATTTTATCAAGATACTCTCACTGGGTCATTTATCTATAAAATCCCACAGTTCTGTGCATAGAAGTTGCATGCAAAGGCTGAGTCAGACTGGAAGGCATCATCATCGGGAGCTGACGAAGTGTGCAGTGGTTGAATCACTTCAAGCAGGCCGTCTGCTACCTTTTGCCATTGGGTTGCATCATTAAGTAATTAGAATGCTTAATGACATTATACCCACAGCATTTTAAATAGATTTTAAAAATCTGTCTGGCAGCCCCTATTTCAACTTAATCAATAGGCTTGTTATAATTGACTTTGTAACCATAAAACAAGGACAGTAATCAATGCTGTTATTTATCTTTTTTTAACCAAGCCAAAGTGTTCATCTGACTTTTAAAAGTAGGATATATACGTTGTCTGTTCAATATGAAAATTGGGAGATAGGCATTACGTAAAACTGTTTCTAGTGACTGACTTCTGCAAACCAGCCATACTCCCCATTGAAAGATGGGTTAGACTCCCCCAATGCCTCCTCCCCACCCCCCCACCCTCCCACCATATATTAGCAAAATTCATTGGTCTTGAAAGAATTAGACCTCTCTGGATATTTTATGGGATGAACTTTTCAGTTGCTTCACAAGTATATCCTTGTTTCTCTACCCCCAACACTGCACAGGCTCAGCCCCAGAACCGACAACGGATGTTTTCCAGCAGCTTAGCCTCTTATCTGTCCCACCTGAATTATAATACAAGCACCAAAATCTGTCACTGTCCGAAGCTCTGCATTATTTATCTAAAGTATCTAAGTCGTGGAATTTATCACACTCATTTTACAAATGCAAATCTAATTTTCAGTTGCTCTAAGATGCAGACAGTGCTTAAAAGATTTCCAAATTTCATCTGTGTTTTTGGTTATTATTACTATAATGGTTTTTTGAGGCTTCAGAATATCAAAAACTGATTCACGCTCTAGAGAAGTCTTTATGGAAAAGTAAGGATGTTTTAGTGAAAGAAGAAAAAGCTAATATTGGGCTATTTTAACACCAAAACATCAAGCAAGGATTTCCTCTCTTCACTGCTGCTTAGCTAGGATGTCCCTGTATTCACTTGACTGCTCTATTTTCATTGCCAGCAGGTTGGCAAATATGTCTGTGTCTCTAATAAAATAAAACATCTTCCCTGAAATTATGAAGTTATAATTCATCCCCTGTCTTCAAACAGCACTTTTAATATCGAGGCAAAGAGCCATTCTGATGATGTTTCACCGCTACAGTGCCCTCCTTTGCTCTCTGTAATTGCCTCTTTCTACTGTTCATTAAAATATATTTACAGTTATATTAAGTTTACATGAAAATAGTAGACACAGCATGAAGCAGTTTTCATTATGTAGTCATTTTAATTTTAAAGTTTTTTTTTCCTCTGCACATATTCCAGTCTTTTGTGTCTCATTCCAAATTAGCAGCTCACACTGGTAATGTGTCTAGTTAATTATATGCATGTGCATTTAAATTGCACACATTGATGTGAACCTTTTAATATACTGTAGGGTGGTCCCTTTATGGTTAGAGTGGGCCTGGTGCTCAATTCCGAATTTACATATCTCTCGAGGATGTAAATCAGGACCAGCTGGTGGAAAAGCAGCAGCTCTCCTGGCCCAGAGAAGGCAAAAGCGCCTGTCAGATACACCCTACACACCTTCTTCCTCATGCTTTGAAAAGAAACAATTAAAATATCACGGGACCAATGGAAAGTACTAGCACCAAGCTTGGAGCACATAGCTATAGCATGACTTGTTGGACTTTATTTGAGCTTGCAGACTTTATTCAAAGCAGAGAATTCTAAGTTCCTCAGATTTGTTGGCTACATAGGATCCATAGGTGAGCTTTCTAGGGTCAGTAAGGAAATGTGGTGAAAACGGAGTCATTTAGGTATAAACATTTTATTACTGCTCTCCACTAAAAATAATAGCAAATTTTAGGAAATCTTGGATATTGAAATATTGCATATATCTATTTTATGAGAACTTTCTCTACTTTATTTTTTACTCTTATGATAAAATTTTTAAATGAATGGTTCACTACAAAGAGCTCTAGGATTTGAAAAGCCTGGTATTTTCTTCATACAAATTGCCTTGGCATGTGGAGTAGTCCTGGAGTACTTTGGCTTTTTGTAGTGTGAGGTCCTACAGGCTTGTGTACCTTTATTCTGCTGAGTAAAGCACTTAAGGTTTAAAGCAATTTATGACTGTCCACCCTAGGATTGTGTTCCTAATATTTCATGATTAAAGTGAGCGGGCCTCTTCTGTATCCTGCTTTGCACTTTGGTGTGATCTTCTAGGCAGAGCTGAAATTGTATTTAGTCATAGCAGTTAATATTTGATTTGGAAACTATTCCTAAAGACGCTTAACAAGACCAATAACTCTTTACAAATGAAATATGGCTCCTATAGGCTGTTTGATCTTTTTGAGAAGACGAACCTCAGCTGACTAAATGAGGCTGTTTCTAGCTATTCCAACTTGGAATCATTCTTCAGCTGAAGCACTAGTGCTTTACCATCCTATGAAGCTTTAGCTTAAATCCCTTTCCATTGCTTCTATTTATTAACCACCTGCTGTGTCTTTTTAAATGCCACTATCTCCACAGGGTTACAGACCCTGATGAAGGGAAAGAAAAATAGCTAAAACATATACATAAATATATATTTAGAGAGAAGCATGAAACACCCCATTTACTCATTTAAATGACTCTTTTGTGGGTTGATGTTGTTAAAACTTCCTTGCCTCCCTCATGATGACATTGATCCTTTGGTTGAATATGATATTTGCTGTCTTTATGCATCTATTCTATGCCCAGCTACTTGCCATCTGTACACTATGCAGTAAGAATCACATTGTGGCTTCTGCAATCTCCTCTTATTTTCTCCCATAACAAACTTCTAAAGTTAAATATACATAACATTCTTGTTAATATAAACAGAAATAATATAGTCTCCAAAATCTACCATTTTCCTTGTTCTAAACACTGTAAAGTGTGTCTTTGAGTATAGTAGCAGAGGTTAGACATATATTTTTCTAGACTAAGATTAATTTTATTCATTTCCTTATTCTACTTTAATATTATAATATGTTCATATTATATTGAGATCACTACAATATAAAAGATCACTACAATACACTTGGCATCTTGTTCTAACTCCTAGTTATCAGTGATCATATTTCTTGGCTAATTTTTAGGTGCCTGGACTAGAAGTGTTGATAAGAGTTTTTTTAGTAACTGACTAATTTCTAGTAGCTAGTGTCAACTTTAGGAGTTTAGAATGTCATGGATGTAACTATTTTGACAGTTCAATAGAAACAAACATTATGTAATTTTGAACTTTTTTTTTGCCTCAGAAAACTAGTGTTTATGTTAAACAAAATATCAATATTATAGCACAGTACTCTCATATCTAACATTTAACATAGAACCAGAACTTCAAAAGCAGAACATCTTTGGTTCAAATCTCATTTCTACTCCTTAGTAGTTGTAATAAATATCACTCATATTATTTAACTGTATTGGGCTGCTTCCTCGTTTGTAAAATGGGGATGTTAATCCTGCCTCGTTGGGCCATTATGAAAAATAAGGGGATGTAAATAATGTGCTTGGCACAGTACCTGAAACACAGGAGTACTGAATACATGGTAGTTATTATCCTTATTCATTCATTAATAAAATATTGGTTAATAAAAATTGCACTATGTGCACGCACTTTGTTAGGCACTGAGAGTTCGGCATGGACAAAATAGACACACTGCTCATATGGACCCTATTGCTTCTCTAATCACATGGAGGGTGGTGGATTTTGCGGCACTGTTTATCAGGCTGCTGCTGATACATCAATGCTCTTGTTTAATTTTCCCACTAAATATCCTCATATTATGTTAATGGATACCCATTGCATTGAAATTCACATAGGGGTTGTCTGAATGGGAAATTATGTTCTGTGGTTTTATAAAACAGCTAATGAAATTTGAATACATGTCTCACTGGATCCAATTTTGAAAGGTAGAGATATTCCACAGATGCCATTGCTTGATTTTATGTTGTGTTTCTTTTTTTCTTTTTTAATATATTTTATTGATTTTACACAGAGAGGAATTGAGAGGGACAGAGAGAAACGTTGATGAGAGAGAAACACCGACCAGCTGCCTCCTGCACACCCCCCACTGGGGATGTGCCCGCAACCAAGGTACATGCCCTTGACCGGAATCGAACCCGGAACCTTTCAGTCCACAGGCCAATGCTCTATCCACTGAGCCAAACCGGTCCATATGTTGTGTTTCTTAAAGAAACGTTCTAACTTTGGATTCATTTTCCTGTGGTTCTGTTAGAGATGTAATGCATTAAAATTGGAAGAGAAGGCAGGGCCTAACAGGTTTGTTTAAAAAAACAAAACAAAAACAAAAAACTTTTTTAACCAAAAGAAGAAATGAGTTATCATTTCTGATCTTCCTGAGTAACCTTGGATTTTAAATAGCCTTTAACAGCTACAGCCAGAGAGTACTGTTTAACAGTCAGTTGTGCTTTATTTGGATAATTTAAAATGACAGGCTAGCACTTTTCAGTTCTTGGCATAGTCTAAAAATATTCATGCCATCTGAATGGTCTCCCCATGGATTAGAGGTGAAAAGGTTCTGCAGCAAAGGCTCAGGAATCCGGAATGGTTTTATTTTCAAATGTTAATTCTCATCATTTTTGCAGTGAATACTAGGAAACCACAAGGGAGCTATGTGAATCTTTTCACAATTAATTGGCTTAATCTGGAGGAGCCTTTAGGAGAAGCTGCTAAAAGAATAAGGAGCCTGGTTGATGAGGCCTGAAATTACAACAGCCATTGATCAAGGGTTGGTTACATTGCTTCCTAACCTTCCGACTCTTATTAGTAAGGAGAGTTCCCAGCCGGCGTCGCTCAGTGGTTGAGCGTCATCCTACAAACCAGGAGATCATGTATGGATTCCCTGTCAGGTTGCTGGCTGGGGCATGCAGGAGGCAGCCAGTCCATGATTCTCATCATTGATGTTTCCATCTCTCTCTTCCTCTTCCTTTAATATATTTATTAAAACATAATAAATATATATTATATAATAAATAAGGATAGCAAAAATTCTATTTTGGTTAAGACCCTTTTTGCAGAGCCAAAATACACAATGTCCACTTCATCCTGTCATTCCTTTGATGTGGAGGAAAATAGGATACTATTTTTATTTAAAATGGGAAATGGGAATTTGAAAATGAGGAGGTGCAGGGATTGGAGCCCAGTGCTCTTTGCCACTCTCTTGTGTTGTTCCCTATAGAATCCGTTGCTCTCCGCCTCTTGTTTTTCCTCTTCCTTAGTCCTCTCACTCATTAGGTTTTAGGATTCGTTTCAACATCCCAGCTCCCTCCAGTGAATCATTCTTTGCTCAGTCTTGAATTTAGTACATTCTTTAAAAAATCATAAGATGGGATTTTGAAAAGCAAACCGAAGTTTGCTTTTGCAGCTCTTTTACCAGAACGGATAAGTCAGAAGAACTGATGTAGGATTTGGTTTTAGAAGTTGCATGCACAAATTGCAAGGTAGTGCAGAGACGACAGTAGTCATCAAAGCTTATCTTCAGACAGTACCTTTCTCTGCCTGCAAACCATTCTCACAAATTGAGGCAGAAGGAGGTGTGACAGCCAGAGGTTGGAATCATGGCTCCACTTGCGTGACCTTTGGCAGTTACCAAATCTCGCTGAGCTTATTCCGCTGTTTGTGATTCTTGGGAAGCGTTTGAAAGATTTTGTGCCAGCGAGTGACATAATCAAATATGTCACTGAGAAAAATTTACTAAACCAGCTCTCTCAATTATATTTCACTGTTTCCTTCTGGTTCTTACTAGTCACGCACTGAATCACCTTCCTTAGCAGAGGAAATAATTATCTTGCTTAAACTAAGACTGTCGTCACAGTGATGTTAGGCACTGTACATTCATGGTCTTTGTTGAAAGCTATAAAAATTGTCACGCAGATCTTTACATTTTAGTAGCTGACAGCAGTGAGATACTAAGTTCATCACATCAGACAATCTCCATTTTTAAGTCACTGTAGCCTGAGGCCAAGTGCTTTGGGCACGGTCCAGGACCCTCAGCCTTTCAGCACACTTGGCATAAGGACGTCCCAGACGTTTGCTCCAGTGCGTGTCTCACATGGTCAGGTAATGATCCTTCACTGTAAGTACATTGGTCTTGACAGTGAACAGTAAGAACCCACCGGTTGATGTGTTTTACATGGCACATTACCCAGTTTCTTTCTGCAGCCTGACTTATAAAAAGGCAAGAATAGTTGCTGTACATAACCTGTGGGGACCTCCTGATTCCTGCCCCCTCACCCTTTATTCAGTCAGGTAACAGCTGTCAGCACTCACTGCCTATCGCACCCTATTCTGGCTACAAGCAAGAATCAGGTTAAGAGTCCCTTCCTCTGAGTAGGAAGGTACTTCGCACCAATGGTTTTCTTGATTGCGCCCTGGCTGTTCTCAGGTTTGTTGCCTTGGTTTCTAACCTCTTTAGGGAGTCCCCAGGGTCTGCCCTTCTTTCCCTCCAGGTCAGGGGCAGTACACATTTTCTTCTCTGTGAGCCCGCCTTCTGTCCAAGGTGAATTTTATAGGGTAAATTTGTAGGGTGAATGCTTGACCTTGTCCTTGATTGTCCGCAGATCTTTCAGATCTGCCTAAACTCCTGATTCTGACCTTGCTTGGTGCTAATTTCTCAAAGCATAGATTTATAAAAGATTTATAAAAAATGTCACCTAATGATGGTTTTGAACAAATACCATTCTATAATAGAACACATTAGGAGAAATAGTGTAATGGGGGTCGGGGCGTATGTGGTTTGGAGTCAACTTACCATTTATGAAATTGGATCTAGCGATAAAGGTGCCAGTGTGCTAGTTACTGTACCTGGTGCCTTATACATCAGCATCACAGCCCTTCCAGAGAGGTTTCTGTATGGGCCATCTCTGCCGATGGACCTGCTCAAAATACCCGGCTGTTAAGGGAGGTTCTGGGACTCGCCTCCAGATGTCTTTCTGCCTGTGATCCCTGTATTGTTCACCCTAATGAGTGTAGGCATGTGTACTGTTTGTTGCAACAGCCAAAGACTTACAACATTGATCCCCAAAGGGGAAGGTGTGCTGTTCCTCTTAGCCCACTTTTAACTTTCCTCTGCATTAACTTTCGTTTGTTCAGACTCCCTATGTGATGCTTAGTTTTCTACCTGATTACTTCATGTACATTCCACATATGAACATACTGAATTCGAAATTGTATAGCTACCTCACAGGATTGTTTTACATTAGCCAACAAATACACAAACAAAATCTCCTTTTGCATGTGCTTTTTTTCCACATGCAAAAGGAGATTTCCACATGCTTCAGTCTTTATTAGGATCTTAAGGCTGATATGACTATAATGAAAATATATTGATGTAGTATTTTACATTGTTTTTATACATTTTCTCTTATCCCCCCCATCACAGTGAGTGATGTATGCATTTTACTATTTGAATCTTTATTTATGGCTGCTTTTCCTTTCTTTCAGGTTTTGTGATGAAGGAACCTGCACAGACAAGGCCAACATCCTGTATGCCTGGGCAAGGAATGCGCCCCCTACCAGACTCCCCAAAGGTACCTCTGGGGCCTCTTGGACAGTTTCACATTAGGCTGCTTGATTTCTGATTCCAAAGTACTTTTTATTATGTGTCCTTTTCCAACAGTGGTTGACATGTTCTGTTTGTAGTTCCACACTAAGAAAGTCCGGGATGGCTTGCTTTGTATGGAAAAGGTTTCATTTAGGGAGTTACTCTTTCTCCCTGAAATTTGCCCACATGGCAGTTTAGATAGAAAACAACCAAGTTCACCTGAAGACACCTTTGGCCTCGGGCACATTGGTTCTGGCCAGCGGGAGAGGTTCAGGGGCCAGGACAGCCAGGAATGAAAGAAACTGCTGCTTCAGCAAACAGATTTCTTTTATAGTCCTGGAACCTGGGTATTTAGGAGGATGCCAAACCTCACTGTTTATGGCTTCCAATGTGTGAGTGAATTATCAGACTCTCTTTTATTACCTTAATGTTTCTTAATATCAAAGTGGATGCACCATTCCATTACAGAATAGGTCTGCCATGGTGGGGAAAGGGAGAGGGTGGGGGGGGGGGAGAGGGGCGGCGCAGAAGGGGGCTTGTTAAGTATATAGTCCTCTCCGCCTCAGTAACTCCTGTCAGCTCTAACTGACATCTGTTTGGCTTTGCTTCAGGTTCCTCTCTACAGTTTGCCAGGCAGCCACCACCAAGCCAGTTTGGAAATTAATAAGGGGGTCTGTCATTTATTTGTTGACATTTTAAAGACCTATTAGTAGAGCAGAAAGAAAAATATTTCTCCACCTCTCAATATTTTCTCGGTAGATAATTTTTAGCTTACTAGCAAACTCTATTAATAGTAAGACTATTAGGATCCCTTCAGAGTCCAAAAATTTATTGGCATACTGGAGTTTTTAATCTAGTTGGTAACAGTTTCCTCAGTAACATTTTTGCAGATACCTGTTTTCATATGGAAAGAAAAGTAATTTCTCTGAGAGGCTCCTATAGTCACTCAGCAAATAAAAATGAATATGAATATATACAAAGTAAAATGTCTTGCATAATCAAGAAAATAATTTTGTTTTGCTTTAGCCTGTTTCTTTCAAAATGAGCGAATTGTCCTCTTAAGGTGTAGGTGGTTACCCTGGTTCTGAGGAGGGAACTATGCACAGAATTCTATTATCAGAGCTTTGAGAGGATTGATAGGTTATATTAGAAATTATCAGAAAATGCCTAGTTTATTTTCATTTTCATATTACGGTTTCATATGTGATAGGCTATTTTATTTCCCTTTGGATTTCACAGATCATTAACCTGAGATTAGCTCCATGTTAGGCCTCCATTTCTAAAATATTAATTTATCACCTTTTGTAAACCTTTAGGTGTTGGATTCAGAGTTGGAGGAGAGACTGGAAGTAAATACTTCGTACTACAAGTACACTATGGGGACATTAGTGCATTTAGAGGTAAGTTTTGAAACATTGAAACTAAGCACAACTTTCACGACTGTACCGTTTAAAATATATATACTAACTATTACTCACTTATTAAAAGGAAGACTTGACCACACCCTCGGGGCCCACTCGGAAACAACTGTCTTTGCTTCTTTTCATTGGGACGATGGGGTAAAGGCTTTGCTTTTGAAGGGCGTATTTATTGTCTTAGGCATCCTACTGTGCTTTTTTCTACGCCGATTTTAGGGTGCTTTGGCTTTTCAAGGTATTATTTTATCTACCCCCTTCCATTAGAAGATTTCTTCTAAGCAGCATGGTCAGAGAGTGTAAGGACTAGTAAATTATTTAATTCTGTAAGCAAGCCCTTGGGAGCATCAGCAAGTTTTGCAATACCAGGGATGTTCTCAACCCTCAGGCTCATGTCAGTGCTTTATCTTTAACCCACACATTCCACTTAAAGAACTCAGTCATTGACCACGGTATTCCTGCAAAGACTGCCCACCCCTTAGACACCCACTGCTGAGCACTACCCCAGGCTCCTGCTGCTCTGCCCATGATTACTATGCACTTCACTTAAATGCTCCTATTCTTGTTATAGAATCATTAACCTGAGGAAGGGTCCCTGTTCCCAAAGCAACTGGGACTGGTGCTTGTTATTTCTTCTGCTGCGTTTGGTTAAACTTCAGCTGAATTCTAGGTTCACACTCTTTTGTTCATGGGAGTGTAAACATTGAGCAGTCTTCTCATTGGCTTGTCAGTTTTCATACTGTCTTGCTGACTTACTCTATTTCCTCAAGTTCTCTATTTTAACTTTATATTTCTATTAACTAACTGGATACATTTCCCTCTCCAGACATATTAGCTTTCTGTCCCACATCTAAGTCTAGAAGTACATGTTCATCCATGCCTACGAATGTCCTCCGGGGCCTTAGCTGAGACGTTCCACAGATTCTCAGCATCCAAGACAGTGACAATAAATGTATCTTCCTCCGGGAAAAGGTGTTGGAAATAATACTTTTATGTCATTGAAAAATTACAATTAGTACTTCAGTTAGATGTATCATCAATTAAGCAAGCTCCTGTGGACCAGCCCATGAATCCAGCTTCCAAATAAAACTTGTTTTCATATTAAAACATGGTTTGAGTTATATATAAATAGCTTTTCATTTTGGGAACAGAACCTAATCTTATTGTTAACTATAGTGCTAAGACAAGGTTTTGTTGAAAACAAAGGAATAACTAATGTTTGTGTTTAAGGAACAAAGACAGAAATTATATGCTCTAAGAATTTACTATGTTGGTGTCAGAGTGCTGACTTCCAAAGCATTGACAATACTGTAAATTTTCTAAAAAGGCAAAGAAGACTTTCCCTGACCACACAATTAACATATCCACACATGCTCCCCGCTCCCTGCTCTATATCCCTCTATAGAACCCTAGACTTTCCTTTTCAACCTAATTCCTCTTAGCTTTGTAGTCCTAACAGATACTGCATTGGTGCTCTGGGAAAATGGATGATATATGCTATTTCTTAAAATATATTACTGTAATAATTCAATTTAAATTAATTTATTACTGATGAGGAATTTTGGCCTGGAGATTATTTTGCTAATTGAAATAAACCAGTCAGAGAAAGACAAATACCATATGAACTTACTAATATGTGGACTCTAATGAATAAAATAAACTGATGAACAAAATAGAAACAGAGGCATGAATACATGGAACAGACCCACAGTGGTCAGAGGGGGTGGGGGGACTGGAAAAAAGAAGGTGAAGAGATTAGCCAAAGAACATACGTGCATAGCCTATGTTGACACAGACAACAGTGTGGTACAGGCCAGGGGGGGTGGGGGGAGAGGGTTAGGTGAAGGTGGGCAAAGTGGGAAGAAATGGGACATCTCTAATAGTCTCAACAGTTTTTTTAAAGGAATTTGTAATTTGTTTAATCTAGGGGTAATTAAAAAGTATTGGTAGTTACTATGTAAATATATATAAAACATCGATGTGAAACTTTTGTATTAATTTTTTATTTTTCATTTTTTCGAGAGTAGTTTTTGTGAAGAGGGTATGAGATAGAAAGATTACTGTTGCTGTGATTCACAGAACTTATTGTAATGAAAATATAAACAATTTTTGTTCATGTAACTCACTCAGTTGTATTAGGTGTTATCTTATGCTTTAAGTGGTACATGTCTTAGGATAGTAAATAAACACATGGGAAAATGTCAAATCTCATCTAAAACAAGGAGAGATCATTTTACATTTATTAAATCAGGAGTGAATGGAGATTGAATTCTAAAACCTAGGACTGCCAGGGTTTATTAATCTGGAACAGTTTGGGGAGCTTTATAAATTAATGTAGTGTTTTGAAATGCAATTTTAGTATATTATATACATTTTACATAGAACATTCAAATCTTGCTCTAGACTTTCATTCTAAAGAAAGAGTTTTTTGATTTCTGTTTTTAAATGATCTACCTACCCCCAGTTATTTATGCATCATTAACTATTAATATGAAAAACCAAAAGTTAACAAATATCCCTTAATAGGGGACTAGTTAAATAAATGTTACAACAAAAATAGCTAAGCATAAAGTTTTAAATATACTACATAAAACTATATGTATGCTTATATGTTTGCAAGGATTATAAAGAACAAGGAAAAATAGGGAACAGTCAATAAATATGAAAGACAGGATTGTGTGGATATTTTTCTCCTTCAAAATCTTATAATGTCATATTTTTAAATTTCACAAGTAGAAGCTCTATGCTAAGTCCCTCATTATCTACCAGTGAGTGTACAGCATTCCCTTCTCTGCTCTCCTGACAGAGAAAAGCTCATGTAAATCTCTATATGACTGATTTGATTTATGTAAGGAGTGACTTGTACTCTTAAAAAGTTTCTATACTGTGATCATACTCTTGCCCTCAGATGGCACCTAGAAGTGGAAAATAATTATATCATCATATCTTCTAATGATTAAAAATACATCATAGGTGTTATATATGTACCATTCACTCATTTATAATCATATTAGTATTAGTGAAGATTTGAACTTAATGTTAAAACTATTGATGATGACATAAATTGTGCACCAGAAGCAGACTAAGGCTATGTGGAAATTACTGCACTCTTCTGAAAAGGGGGCAGTATTTTGCATAAATGTATGAGCCTTTTTCCACACAGGGAAGGCCTTAGACAGGGGACATGCCTAGGACTTTTATTTAATGAAGTACCAACAGTGAAGGTAAAATTTCTTCTAAAATTTATTGGACTGTGGTCAAGTATCAGGAAGAATATAACCTGAAGCCAACTGGGTCTGATCTCTATCAGTAGGAAAAAACTGGGTGTGACTTCTGTTGGATAACATGCAGTGTTTGTTTCATTTGGGTTTTTGTTTGTTTGGGAAATTGCACAGAATGTGAAGCTGTAAAAACATCATTTATAAGCAGCCAACTTTATTAAATGCCATGTCAGTCCAAGTGTCAGACCTGTGCTGGGTATACTAATCTTCCTAATCGTGGGCATTTAGTATATTCCAGCAGGGGAAAGAAAAGCAAAAAACAGAGTTTATAGGCAATTGTAGAAATGCATTCCAGGTCTGGAGGCTGTGGAAAGGCGGTGGACGGGTCTGCCCGGAAGGGAAGGGGCCCGTCATCTATGAAAGGCATCTCAGAGGATGGAACCAGAGTAAGGATTTGAGCAGTGGAAGGAGAAGACCCAATCCAGACAAAGGTAAAGGCATTGCGTAGACACAGGAGAGTGAGACACAGCCTCATGTCCTCAAGGAACTGGTGGTCATATGGCATTACTATGAAAGGCAAAGGGGGAAGTGGCAAGAAATGAGAAGAGAGGTGAAAGGTGGGGACTGGACCATAAAGATTCTTGTTCAGACCTGATTCTGAAGGCACTCAAAGTGTTGATTAGCCAAGCAATAATCCAATCAGATTTCCACTTCAGTCCTAGTTTTGAGGGCATGGAAATGTTACTACTGGCTTTATGAGGAAAGGACCGGGGCTCCAGGAGGCCAAGGTAAGCCAGGCCAGGGGCCCTGGAAGGCCAGCAGGAGTTCCTTTTTTAAATGTAGGCTTTCTATAAATCAATATTCTGTGGAAAACAGAATGTAATCTAATTAGAAATGAGAGTCTCATATAGGCAATAGGGAACAGGGGTTAGGCGATTGAACCAGATGTCCTGGCCATGACACTTGCTGGTTTTGTGACCCTCACCAAGTTTCCAAACCCCCCTGCTCACCCCTTCTATAATGTGGGATCATAATGGTTCTTCTAAAGGTACCTGGTAAGTACTCAATAAGTGTTAACTAGTGTCATGATAGTCCCTGTGAGAGACTTAAGGGGACATAAATTCTCCCGAAATGCATACTTGTCATAGTTGCCCATAATATGAAGAGTATATTGGTTACTTTTTAAGGGTATTATAATTTCTCATTATGTTTAGCCAGAACCGTGTTCATGTCTGTCACATTGTCGGACATGTTTCCTAGTTTTGGTTTGTTCTCCACAGCAATTTTGTTACTGATAGTTCAGTTAGACAAAGAAACTACAAGATCAAGTCCCTGTACTTCAGTAGATTAGAACAGTGGGAATTAGAGATTCCTCTTCTTCCTTTTTCTCTTACTATGTTTTTTCAATAATCTTGTTCCAAAGAGACAATTCTGAGATTGCTGCAAAAATTTTCCATATTTCTTCAGGATGTCTGGCCCAGGGAAATCTTAAGCAAACTCTTGGCCTCTCCTTTCCAGAGTGCCTGGCATTAGCTTATTGGTCTCCAACAGTAACTCATTCTCAAACCAGAAATCTGGTTTGAACTGGAGTTGGAACTGATGCTCTTAAAATTCCCATGTGCATAGGCTCTGACTTTTTGGTTTGGCAAAATGTCCATGCTGCTTACTACCCATAAGCCTCGGTTATGCATAGGGAAAACTAATAGGTGTTCCTTCTGAAGGAGACAGACCACATATACATACACACACACACACACACACACA